TCGGAGGGTCCCCCTCCAGAGAATGGACCAGCCCACCTGTCCATTGTAAACTGGCGGAAAGAGGCTGTACCATCTCCTTGTCTGGGGGTGGGAAGGGTAGTTGCGTCCTCATGCCCTTTCCGTTATGGTGAGGGTGGGGGAAGGCATACGTCCTCGAAGGGGTTGTGGGGCTGGGGACCGGCCCCGGCGCTCCCCCGCGAGCAGGGAGACACCCAGCGCCCCTGTTACTCAGGGGGCTATGCCCACAGGGGAGGCTGTGTGGGCTCTCCGTGGGGCTGGTTGGGTCGCCCTGGAGCCCCGCTCCCCTCAGCGCAGCCAGACCCGGGCCTGGGCCGGTCTGCTGCCTTGTTCTGGGGCTCGCCAGTGGTTTTGGAGGCTCCAGCTTTGCTGCCTGGTTTGTGCCCTTGTTTGAGGGAAAGGCCTGGCCTTTGCTGGTGGCACTGCCCAGGCCCTGCGGGGTGGCCCACTGGTGGGGTCTGGGGGAGAAGAGGAACAAGGGCCAGGGGAGGCTGGCGCTGTGCGGGCAGTCCGGGGCACCTCAGCCGTGGAGAGCAGCCCCTCCATGGCCCCAACACATCTGTGCCGTTACAAGCTTTCCTGCAAGGGAATAAAGCCTCTTTTGCCTTAGATTGTGAGCATCTTGTTGTGTTGCTATATGGCATGTTGGCCCCTTAGACCACCAAAGACCAGGTGGGAGTTGAACTGGATGGTCCCTCATGTCCTGACCAGCCTGAATTATCATATGGTTTCATCCCATTGCTGTAGCTGTAATGCCAGCACAAAGGTGAGGTTCCCCTGATGTGTTGGGCTGCAATTATGAAAACTGAGGTACCGAAGTTTTTTAGGACTTTTTTGCTAGGCCATCATCTTTATACTTAAAATTAGGCTATGCTGAAAAACTGGCTCTGCAAATAACTTCCATGCTGCCTGAATAAATGCGCTGTGAATAGGAGAACCAACAGAGATCTAGGGTAAAAGAGGAATAAAAAAAAAAATCCTATTTCTGTTAAACTAGGGTACTCTATCCCTGTCCTTAGCTGTGCTATCCGTGCAGGCATGCTGCAGTTGCTCTGCAGTCATGTGTCTTTGGCTAGAGAATTTATATAATAGCACCTTCTTCAGTCCTCTTTTTAATCTCTCTTAGCACTCAAAATTCGCTGTGCCAGAGTTTAAGTGCCTGAGGGAAGAGAGGGGGTTTTTTGTCGTGGAGATAATGTGGAGTCATGCAAATTCCATTCTGTTCAGGCACTTTGTCTGCAATAAATATTTTACTCAGAGAAGTGGTCTTTAGAAACCTGGTGCCCTCTTTTCCCATGCAATTGATGAAGGTCCCTTAGGAGTTCTGTTATCAACTTTGTATCATAGACATTAACCTTGGCCTGTGTAGCAACAGACATACTATAAAATGTTTGGGTTTTTTTTTTTTTTTTCTTATTGTGAAAGTGGGATCTCAGAGTTTTCTGTGCCTGTGTCTTGTGCCTCAGACATCAAGTTCACATGATCTTGATCATTGATAAAACTGCCTGCAAAGATAAAACTGTCCTGATAGAAAATTAAATTCATTAAGGCAGGTTTTAATCATGGTGTTGACCACTCTGTTTTTTAAAAGTACATACACGTTACATATTCTGTCTGTAAGCAAAACAGCTGAATATAAAATTGTGATGATTTGCTAGTGATGACAGATAAGGTAGTTGTTATTGTCTAACAAACAAGAGAAAAGCTTCTGTGTTGGACATTTGCTAAGAAATAGCTTAGCGGACTTGCTTGTGGTGCAAAATGCAGCACACATAAGAAGTCCTAATTTCTGAAAACAGCTTTTTAGCCAGATGACTTGTGTGTGATCTCTCACACACAAGTGCCTTTTCCCTTTGAATGCTGTCTTCTGTTTTGGGCTGAGTCTCCTGTATCTGTTGGTGTGAATAGGGCACCTGAATTGTGTTGTGGGCTGGATCATCGTAGATCTCACTTAAAAAAAAAACCTAACAGTTTCCACTTCTGCAAAGCATTTTGAGCTTTATAGTCAGAGCACTGTATCATCGCTTAGCAGTATTGTATTTATTTTCACTTGAACAGCGCCATTGGTGTCGGTGGGACTTGCTGAAATGTGCTTGCTGAGGTTTTGAACCAGCAGTACCAGACCTAATGATCCTCTTTCCAACAGTCTTACTTGTTTAGAGACTTTTTTGACGCGCACAAATAAAGGCACTTAAAAAACAAATAGCACCTGATTTCCATATATAGAGTCTTTGGGAAAATACCACCCCATCAATTATGTATTTTTTTTAAACACTGCCTTTTATATCTCTGTCTAAAGGGGGCTATTTAATACTGCGAGTAATGTTCTGAGTAATACCGGGCTTGGCACAAATGAGGCGCTTAACTGAGTTCCTTATTTTTATTATCCATTGTCTGCTAACCAGTTTTTTGTTGTTTCATTTATTTGCCCTGTCCCTGGGGAAGGAAGGATGGCAGCTCGGCGTGCGCTGAAAGCTGTCTTGGTGGATCTCAGCGGCACACTTCACATTGAAGACTCAGCTGTGCCAGGCGCGCAGGAAGCTCTTAAAAGGCAAGCTACCTTTTTCGATTTCCTCTGATAGGTTATGTCAGTGCTGTTTGCACCAAGATGCTTCTTTAAGTAAACAGGCCTGAAGCTTCTGCCTTTTTATGTTGTCATGGATAAGCAAATACACGGCCAAATTCTCCTTTTATTTGTAGCTGTATTAATACCAAGAGAAATCAGCAAAGGGTCTAGATATTGAAAAGTTGCCATGTATTACCTGAGCCCCCACAGCTTTCCTAAGTTGCTCTCTTGGTCTTATCCAAGTCTTTTCTAGATAGAAAAAGACTTAATATTTTCAGAATGTTTCAGCTAATTCATATGGGAATGCAGCCTTAACCAAAGTGGAAAGTAGTTAAGTTAATGTGGATTACCCCATGTACACCAGAGTCACTTCGGCTGAGCTGTTCCTCGGTGGTTTGTTTGACTACAGGAACCTGACTGAGCCCTTACGTCTGTGGTGAGCAAAAGCGGAATGACAGAGAGACTTGGCCTAGTGAGCAAGGCATCCTTTGCAGAGTTCTTGTTTCATTTGGTCTTTCAGCCAAGGCTTTGCTTTATTATTTTGAAAGTTTCTTTCTGCTAGGTAAACGACCTCAGTGGTTTTTTCAGTTTGAGAAGCATTTGATAATACAGCCCATCTTTTGTAGGCATTTCAACTCATTACTAAACAGGACAGTTAAGTACCTCTTTCTCATCTGATGAAAGGGTGCCTAAAGACATTGAGACATAGTAAAATGACTTAATCTGGCCAGTTTAGTGGCAAAATAGGGTATGCAACCCCAGGGATCTTCATACTGTGTTATGACACTCTTTTCCTGGAGAAGACATCTTGCAGTAGATGAAGAAAACCACAAAGTGATATATGTTATCAGGATGAGTGAGGGAGGCCAGCTTAAGATGCTGGGACAGTAAGAATTAATCAGGGGAGAGGAATAGGGTTGAATTAAGGATGAGACGTGTTTACTGGAGTTGTATTGGCTGCTTAGATTTTTTTAAAGCTAGGCTGTTGCTTAGAGGAAAAGTTCACAGAGGGATTAGGAAACTCTGCATTTCTTTTCACAATTAGTTCTGTGAAAATAATTACCTACTAAAGATGTAAAATTGCAAGGCAGTAAAAGCTGCTAAAGCATTGGGTACTCATTCATCACCCTTTCATTCACTGGCCCTTGTCTACTTGGTATTTCATGCTGCAGAGAGAACTTGTGCTAGATGAGAGTCAGCATTCTTGAATATCTATCTATATATATATATATAAAAGTGGTGATATTGTCAAAAAGAGCGCAGTATCTGTCCTGTCTGCTGCTCACCTCCAAACCTCCAGGCAGCAGACTGGACAGAAGAAATGGCTTTTGTAGAATCAGAAGACAAACTGTTTTCTAAAGCCATGGATTCTCCTTTTGTCTTCTGCTTGATTCCTACCAAGCCATACTCACGTAGGCCCTGTACTGGCTTTGGCAAGGGAGCGGGTGAGAGAAGGGATAAGATGCAGAGAGTGCCTGTTGCTGTTTGTCAGCTTCAGCCTGCGATCACAGACACGGAGAGCAGATGTCATTTCACTGCCAAGATCAGCCAGGTCTTTTTTGGCTTAGAGGTTTGAAAAAAAATTATTTTTTCATGCTCTTTTCTGCTAATCCATGTCATTGTCCTTCCTAAAGAGAAGCTGAAATGCTTGGCATGCAACTTGCTTAGGGAACAAATGGATAGATTCAGTTTTTAGTGTTACTTCTCAGTATTGAGGTCCATAGGAAAAAAAAATAAATTATTTTATTAGCAACCAGGGGACTTTTTTACCAGTTCATACTTGTGAAGAGTCAGTGTATCTGACAAATAAGAGAAAGAAGTGGCAGGTGCAAGCAAGTCTGCAGCATTGACCAACTTTATTCTGATGTTCTCCATGCAGTTGTGATGCCAGTGTTTGTTTCTATAGCGACAGAGAAAGTGATAGTGGGGGAATAATTAAAGGGAGCGCTGTTGAAATTGTCACTTAAAATTATTTGATTGTTTGGTAGCATGTACTGTCAGTGTAGGGCAATAATGTGGTTTTATGTGATATCGGTGTTCCTCAGTAAAGGGAGAAATGGCTGCAAAAGCTGACATAAAATCGTCACACAGGTAACATGGGCTCCTAGAGCATCATGCATCTCTGAATGAACCACAGCTGCTGTCAACTTCACCTGGCCTATGGAGTTCAATATATTAATTTAGCAACAAGGTTCTTTTGTATATTTATTTTGATTCAGGATGCTGTTGATCCAGATTATAGGGCTGGTTTATTTATCATTTAGTTAGAATCAGAAGGCTTTTCAAACTTGTTACTGTTGATCATAGATGTGTTTGTTACTATTATGAAGATGGAGTTTGGAATCACCATTTTCCCCCAAACTTTTCCTGGTAGAAGCGAAGCAGGGGAGACTTGGTCTTGTTCTGGAAGCTGTGATTCTTGCCATCTGTTTCATATTGCCCTCCAGTCCACAGAACTTAACAACCTCATGGTTCTTGTGCGGCACCAGTACTCTGGGATGTATACAGTCTTTTCATCTGCAGCCTTTAGACAAACGGTCCCTTTTCAGTCCCGAAGAGATGTATGAGCGTGTACATAGAAGGATGCTGCGGCCAATTTGCCTTTGCTCTTCATCCCTCAGGCTGCGCAGTGCTCCAGTTACCATTCGATTTGTGACGAACACAACGAAGGAGTGCAAGAGAGACCTGCTGGAGAGGCTGACGAAACTGGGATTTGACATTGCAGAAAACGAGATCTTCACGTCTCTGACAGCAGCCAGAAATCTTTTGGAGCAAAAGCAGGTGCGGCCTTTGCTGCTGGTGGACGATAAGGCCCTGCCTGATTTCACAGGTGAGGTGGTTGGAGAACATCATGGGGGAAGTTACTGAGCAACTAAGGAAACATAGCATGCTCTGTTTTGTAGAATGACAATCGTATATATGATGAAGCCTGAAATGTGGAACTCTCCAGAGTCATAAAGGTCCTTTCTTCTTTTTAAATTAACATGAAACAGTCTGAAGTCATAGCTTCTTGAGGAATAGTGGAAATGGCAGCTAAAAAAACGTTTAAATAGTCAGGAATTTGGGTAAAACTCAATACTTTTTATTAATTTCCAGTGGAAAAAATGATCACTAGATCATTGGAGATTTATTGTACCTACCAGTGCTGATTTGTTTTATAGCAAAAATGTGTCAGTTTGTTGGAAATCAGGTTTCCCTCAGCTATTCTACAGCGGTTTTGCTCGCAAAGAGCTGAAAAGCCAGTGTGTAGGCACATGCAGCAGGGTATTTCTTTCGTAATAGATTATTATTAAATGTAAAATCTCCAGGTAGTTATTGTTACTTAGCTTATATTGAACATCTAGGTCTCACTCCATGTACTTTGATACCTTAATTGCTGACAGAAGGTTCATCGCCCTGCCTTCTCTAGATTCTCATCTCTAAAGACCTGGTTAAAACTTTCTTTATTTTCAAATGTTCCCATTTCCTTCCCTCATAATTAAGGGGAGCAGACGATGATATATTCTAATTTGGACATGTCTGGCAGATCCCTGAAGCTAGGATGGTTACTCTTTGACTTCATCACGTTGCTTTAAGAGTAGTGAAGGTACTCAGGTTTTTAACATACGCAGAAGTAAAAACTGTATATTGTATATTCAGTCTTTCATTTAAAGTCAAGGCAGCAAGAGTCTGGATGGCTTACCACTTCTCCCTGCCCCTTGCCTTATGAACTGAAATCCTTATGGCTGTGTAAATTGTAGGTTCCACTCTTGCTAGGAGCTAGATGTTTTCTGTTAAATTTTAGTGCCGTAGCCTAGTCAGTAAACTTCAGAAAGATAAGTGTTCAGGAGAAAAGCCTCTGTGGGCTCTGAGAGCAATGAAACCTGATAATCTGTTCTACCTAACATTGTATCCAGAGAAATTCGCTCCCAGCAATATTCTGTATTTGTGTTCTCAGGAAGGCTTTCTTGGGTCAGAAACAGCAGAGGCAGCAGCTACTTCACTGAAGGTGGTTAAATCACTTTAATCTCCGTATATTTGGGATCTTTCCATCAGTTTTACAGTAGCTGATGCGAATTTTGTAAAAGATGGCAAAGATAGAGGTATCAGCGGAATACATTGGTGGCATTTTCTGTGTTGCTTGGATCTGGGATGGATTGTTTTGTTTCTTTTTGCTGCAAGCGATTTGGCTTTCATTCTCACAGTGCTGCTGTTGAAACATTTAAGTACAATGGAAAATGCTTTAAATTCCTGTTAACGGCTGCTGTTGTACTATTCTTGGCTAATCTCTCTATAAAGTTGGTCACAGATGGATGAATGTAATCCATTCGTAGTTAAAGGACCCAGATGTTTTGGATGGTGTCACAAATCCACATGGCATCTCTGAGAGTATGTTTTGCTGTCTGAGCTAACTGCAGGACATGGGGCAGGAGACATCAGCCAGCAGGCTGCAATGATGCAGCCGGACCCAGGAGCTCCCAGTAAAGGTGTAGAGGATATGCTTTGTGAGGGTGGAACAAAAACCCCAGCAAGTGGGGGATGCAGCTAATAACTTAACCTGTCATAAACAAACCTCTCTGTAGCGTCTTTAGATGCTACTTCGCTTCTATTGCTGGTTCTGTTCAGAGGTGGCACTGCCATGTAAAAACAGTCATGCTCCTCCAGAGCAGTCCAGGACAAAGGAGGTGCAAGCTGTTCTCACGGGGACTAATCCACATTTAAAAAAAAAGACCTTCCAGAAGAGCCAAAACTAATCTAGTGCAACAGCTTCTAGGTCATGCTGCAATACCATTGTTGCCATCATAACCAGAGTGATACGCAGAACAACAGTCAGGCTTTATACCCTAAGTGGAGTTTTCTGTGACTAGAGGTAATAGAAAAACTGGGTGAAATTCACTAGTCTTCCTGCTTTACTGTCTTACAAAGCAGATCATAGAATCATAGAATCATTTAGGTTGGAAAGGACCCGTAAGATCATTGAGTTCAACCATTAACCTAGCACTGCCATGTGCCTAAGCACCACATCTACGCATCTTTTAAATACCTCCAGGGATGGTGACTCCACCACTTCCCTGGGCAGCCTGTTCCTGTGACTGACAACTCTTTTGGTGAAGAAATTTTTCCTAATACCCAATCTGAACCTCCCCTGGCACAACCTCAGACCATTTCCTCTTGTCTCATCACTTGTTACCTGGGAGACGAGACCAACCCCCACCTGGCTACCCCCTCCTTTCAGGTAGTTGTAGGGAGTGATCAGGTCTCCCCTCAGGCTCCTTTTCTCCAGGCTAAACAACCCCAGTTCCCTCAGCCACTCCTCCTACAACTTGCTGTCTAGACCCTTCACCAGCTTCATTGTTCTTCAGTGGACACACTGCAAAGATGAATTTATGTAGAAAGAGATTCTCAGATAACACAAAGTCATTCAGTTAAAAAAAGTGGTTTGTGTGATCTGCATTTCTATGGAGGCAGTGAGAGAATTGCTATTCAACAGTCACTCTTAACACTGTCCAACTGCACAGTTGTGTTCATTGTGAAGAATGGCAGAGTCTGGATAGATCAACACCTTTTCCACAAATGCTTTCCACATTTCTAAAAGACATAAAACTAGTCTATATGTGATGTGTCTGTGTCAGAAAATGCTCATTTTTGCTGTGAAGTGATTAATTGCACTTGTTGACTGTGTACTGCTAAGTATGAATAAAATTCTGTTTGCTCAGAGTCATGTTCTGATTTTCCAGGGATAGCCACTGATGACCCCAATGCAGTGGTGGTAGGACTGGCTCCTGAGCGCTTTCACTACGAAATGATGAACAGAGCGTTTCAGTAAGTCGGCCCCTCCTTGTGGCCTTTTGAGTATTGGCTGTCTTGTGCTGGGCTCTGTACCTCCACATACACGAGGAAATCTTTCTCGTATGGGAAGAGGAAGGTGGTAGCAATATCAAAGTTACATAGTGTAATTATGGTGTCTTCCCCTGTGTCTGAGAGTGTTACTGCTCAAACGGCAATAAAAACTTTCCAAACAGGAATGCAGTTTAGAGAGCCAACATTGGTTTATTCAGCGCTGGGTGCATGGGGGATCTCTCCTAACATGCACACCTAGCCTACAAGCATATACATATTTATGTTCTCAAAACACACAAAGTTACAATTACATCACATAGTTGCATAGTTACTTCCTTATGATTTCTTACTTTGCTTTTGAAGGTATAGACTTAAATAAATTCAGAGAGCATGCCCAGTGAGGGGTGGTCGTACCTTGGAGGCAGGTAGCTTTTAGAATGGAGATGTGTTTTGGTATTATAATTAGATTATAATGAACAAAGTTCACTCAAAGGACATGATTTTGACAGAAAATGAAATATTACTTGGCTCATGTACCACCTACACAATTTATCAGCTCCATGGTACCACCAAGCTCTCAGGTTCTCATTCTTAAAATGTTTTTATTGTTTACCTGTTAGGTTGGGGCTGTACAGGGACCATAGCAGCAAGACTGGTTACTAATAACACAACCATTCGGCCATTACCTTACTATTGCTAATAATCTCATCTCCTTGATCCCATCACCCCGGTTACAAAGACTATACACAACCTATCCCATCACCATAGCTAAAGTTAAACACATCGGTTACAAGAGGGCCACTAACCTTGGTGAATTTGGGACCTTAACCATGAACCTTCAGGCAGTCTAGCCCTGGTTTTCGTAGATTTCAGTCACGGTTGTCATTAAGGTGAAAAAGATAACAATGCTTCAAGAAGAAATACACAGAAACAAGGATGTTGGGAAGTATTCAGGAGATGGCTCCTACATTCAAACCTCAGCCTTCAGATATCAAATATTACAGGGAAGGAACTCCAGTATTTAGGGCAGATTATTGTGTGTCTAGTGTAGGATTTCTAGCAATTTCTTCTGAAGCATCTTGTGTTCAGGAGTGGCCAGCACTCAGGTAAAATCAGATAAAATTTACCTGTGACTGTCCAGGAGCAAAGACTCAATAGTGTGTGCAGAGGTGCGTTGTCATGCGTCCTTCTCTCTAGTTGTAGCTCAGCACAGCACTCTCAATTTTAACTTGAAAAAAGCTTGAAGATGCTTTGAACATGAGCTGGTTGCTGAGTTTAGCCCCGGTGACGTGCCTTTTGTCTGTGGTAAAGGGCACAGAAAGGGGTCGTCTGAGCTTACCCCTTACCCCATTCCCCAACAGAGCCTGCTGGGCCTCCGTTTCGTTTCGTTGGGAGCTCTCTGAGCCATCTGTCCTTCAGCAGTGGTTGTGGCCAAGGTGATCAGCCTGGTCTTCTAACAGAGGAGGAGCACCCACTGGCACAGCTCATCCCAGTTGCGGGAGTGCTAACCCCTGCCAGCAGCTGGTAACCAACTTTCAGTGCTATCTCAGGGCTCAAGAGGACATCTGGTAACACTGGTTAACTCCCTGCCGTGCTACATGTGATGAGTCATTTCCACTCTTTGCTCACGGGATGATGGCTACCACACAGTTTTTCACCTTGGAATTGGAAAAAAACTGAGCTCAAGCACCTTAATCTGTCTTTATAACCGCTAAATCTGAAGAGGGAGTATCAATTACTGCTCACCAGTATCTTATGGAGGCTCCTTGTAGTAGGAAGCCAGTGTTGTCCTTATCTGCATGCCAATTCTATGTCATAAGAACATGTATTGACCCAAACTGATTCTCTGGTATCCTCATTAGTGCATGTTGCCAATGGCATTGATTTTAAGAGTTTTACAGCGCACTCATGAGTGGACTCTAATTTCACAACTGCATGAACTTAACCCATCATGTATTCCCATGCTTATATAATTTTATTGATATTTCTGTCATGAATATATTAGCCATTGAATGATAGTCATTAGCTGCCTCGGGCTGGAGACCTGGACACTTAAGAAACCAGTGATCACATTCAGAGTCCTGAGGGCCCCAGGCTTCCCCAGGCCAGGGTGCCCAGGAAAGCTTGCAGAACAGGCCCTGTGGAGGTGGGCGACGTTGTCCCAGGCTGGATTTGGGCTTTTTTCCATTAAACACAGAATTGGACACTTGCTCTAGCGATGGAAGGAAGGTGCTGAAGGCCCAAGTCCAGTCCCCTGCAGTGGGCACTGGGCATGGTGTGGCCTTGCTGCCCAAGAGAGACGTGTATTCAGGGAGGTGGCATGGAGTGCATGCTGCCTGAGCATCCTGTATCCAGAGCTGTCTGGGTGGTGTGGCTGAGCACTGAGTAAGGCTGAGTCCTTCAGCTCACCTTGCCTCTTCTGGCTGCTTGGCTGACTTCTCTGTCATCCTTTGAGAATCTGTCCTGATTTGCTCAGTGTTTTCCTGGTCCTGTATTTCAGGCTGGGCAGAGGCCCTAGGATGGGCTGTGTCTGATCTTTAACATCTCACTGACTTGTTCTGGGTTTTTGCCCCAATCCTCTATTGAGGGTAAGCTGTTCTGCTGGTGTCAGTTTTGTTTGATCTGATGGGAATGCTAACTACTGGCCACACTCTCTTCTTCTTGAGCCTTATGCTATGTCCGTATTCCTTGTCCTTTACTGCTCAGATAATTAAATCACTTGGGATTTGCATTGCTCATAGCAAAACTTTAAGGTGAATCTGATTAAATGCAGATATCTACAGTGCTGATGCCTGTAGCTGAGCTGGTGACCTAGGCTCCTGAGGGAGAGAGGAGGTACTTGTAAGGCATCATTGATTTTTCCCCTAGTAGTACTTAAAATAGGACAGTTGAACTGTGCCCTAGAAGTGCTTTTTCCTCTCCTCTGACTGTGAAGAGCCCAGGCTGACTAATTACCTGGTAGGCAACTACTGAGTTGATATCCAACATTAGGTTAGGTAAATCTAACCCAAAATGAGTCCCAAAATGAGATACACAGAGTAAGGCCATTCTCTAGGCACCATTTGAAATGACTGAGACTAAATTTCTCTTTTTGTATACATGGGATTTTGATGCCACATTTAAAAGAATTCTCTCAGATGAGATCCTTCCTGCAAACTGCCGAATGTAAGTGGTTGTGCTGCTGCTGTCAAATTAAATTCTTCTGTATCCTAGAGGCATCCTCCCATCGTGAACATATCTGGCTGCTCACAGATACACATGCCAGCTCTCTTCTTGTTGATCTTGCTTTGGAATGCATTGATTCAATAGCAGTGTTTTGTGATAATTAAGTGAAATGAAATATTATCATTTATGTATTGCTCAGGGTACCCAGGCTGCTCTGCAAAGCATGTGGGAAGGAGCAGACATCCTCCAAGGAGCATACAGCTCATCTAAGGCAGCCTCTTTGAGCAGAGCCACAGCAGAGCTCCAGAAAGGCAGTGAAGGGGCAAACCAAGATTTTGTTTGTTTTCTTAAAGGCTTTTTTTTTTCATAAATCCGGTAGGGTTAAGGGGAAAATAAATCCTTTCTGCTCGCAAGATAATGGCCAACGTTTTCCTTCTGTCCCCCAGCTTTGCTAGTTACATTCCTACCTGTTGGGGTAGAGACTGGAGTTGCCTGCAGTACCTGAGAAAGGTGCTGTAAAATCGAACAGGAAGCGTTTGGCAGTCGTTACCTCAGCTTTTATAGATGCTGTCTGGAGGGCTTTTGTTGCACTGAAACTGAGGCTTGGGAGGGAGAGAACTGCAATAACGTTGCTGTGCTTGGTAGTACCCGGAGGATTTCTCTAGCACAGCAGCTGCACTGGCTTCCCTTTGCTGCGGGACAGGTAGCTGCTGCGTCTGCTGTAAGGAAAAACTACCAGGCAGGTAACGAAAGGATCAACAGTTAGGTCCAGATTCTGTGAAAGCCAGCCCTCGTAAACTCCTGTTTATTACTTTGCTGTCATGGATCCACTGTTCAGGCACTGCGTGTGCTAACGAGACACGCTCCCTGACACGAGGGTTTTACAAGGCAAGCGTTAGACGAGAGCCCTGAAGCAGACATGAAGTGAATTGACCAGGGTGACAGGGTAGCAAGGCTAAGGAGGTGCTGACTGAGATTGGCGGAGCAACTTCAGTTTCTTAATTACTTTGCTTACATTTTTCCACCCACTCCAGACAATCCCTTGTTCTGTGCAGGTTTTTAACAGGTAAGTCAGCTGGTAGGCAGAGATGGTGTCTGCAGAACCCCGAGGAGGGTGCACGCTGGTGTGCTGGGGCAGAAATGGGCCCGTGGAAGGTGGGGGGATCTCAGCTTTGGGCAGGGAGCAGTTCCCAGTCTGTCAGACCGCTGCACTCACTTCCTGAGGCTTCCAGCCAAGGCCCTTCTGTAACGCCACCATACCGTGCATTATGACCCTTATCCTGTGAGCCTTTCACTGTACTCAGAAGTGTTAGGAATCTGCTGACTTGTTGCTTTGTGGTGGGTTGACCCTGGCTGGGGGCCAGGTGCCCACCAGAGCTGCTCTATCACTCCCCCTCCTTCTCTAGACAGGGGAGAAAAGGTATAACAAAAAACTTGTGGGTCGAGATAAGGACAGGGAGAGATCACTCACTAATTGTCGTCATGGGCAAAACAGACTGAGCTTAGAGAGGGAATTCATCTAATTTATTACCAAGCAAAACAGAGTAGAGGAATGAGAAATAAAATCAAACCTTAAAACACCTCCCCCCACCCCTCCCATCTTCCCGGGCCCAACTTCACTCCCGGCTTCAACGTCCGTCCCTCCTCAGTGGCACAGGGGGACGGGGAATGGGGGTTACAGTCAGTTCATCACATGGTGTCTCTGCCGCTTCTTCTTCTCAGGGGGAGGACTCCTCTTAATTGTTCCC